ATCTTCAAAGCCAGGTTTTAAAACCCAGGGAAATTTACTAGACTTAGTCTCAGATGACTTAGGGTTGCTTCCTTTGGTAGGTTGGAAAAAATATGACCACAATATTTTACAGCTCCTGCCATCAAGAGATGACATCTATTTCTCCACCCCTTAAAACTGGGCTTGGTCATGTAACTTGTGTTAGTTGGTGGGACATTAGTAAACATGATGCAAACAGAGGCTTGATGAGTGCTTCTTTCTGCTTTGGAGCTTGCCCTCTCTTGCTGCTGGGAAAACTTCCACCACCATGTGAACAAATCTGGGCAGCTTTCTGAAGGATGAGACGATGTGGACAGAGGCCTCCATCACCCCAGTTATCTCATCTGGGCACAAAGACATGTGAATGAGGCCATTCTAGAACATCCAGCTTCAGCAAGAAGATCCACCCTGCCAGCCCACAGAACCATGAATAATAATGTTTGTAGTTTTAAGTCACTACGTTTTGAAATTGTTTGTTATGTTCCTCAGAAGACAATTAACTTTGAATCAGGCAGTCTAAAGATGTTTCACAGTTCAGATGCTCCTTCTCTCTCTCCCTTACTCTTTTGGGAGGATTTGTACTTAATCAGCCATCAAACTAATAAATGAAAGCTTAATTGAGGAATGTAAAGCAATGGCCGGTGGGTAGTGGAGGTACCTGGGTGCAGTGGAATCTTCCTAGTGCCCCTGAAACAGTTCCACAAAGGTGACTCGGGTGACATAGAATGATGTAGCTTTCCTTCAGAGCACTTTGTAATTACACTGGGGTGGCTACTTTACAAGGTCTAGACTAAACCACAAGCTACTAGACCAGCAATTTTCAACCTTTTTCATCTCATGGCACACCTAAACTAATCATTAAAATTCTGCGGCATACCAAAAAATATAGTTTTTGCTGATCTGACAAAAATATAGATACAATTTTGATTCATTCATACCAGATGGCTATTGTTGTGTTGGCTATTGTCATTTTTTAATTTGGCAATCTAAGAGAAAAGAGGTCAATACCCCTGATTAAGTAGTCAGGTATTGCACGTTTTAAAAATTCTTGGGGCACACCAGTGTGCCTCTTGGGGCACACGGGTTGAAAATCACTGAATTGGACTATATAACCTTCACGAAGGCAAGGACTGTATCTGATTTGCCACCGAATGTATCCTGGTACATATTAGATACTAATTTGTTGAATGAGTAAATTTGAGTTTTTGCCTACTTCACATAAGGGATCCAGGCGTTCAAAAACACCACTTAGCAGTATTTGTAACCCACGGGCCTGTCTCTTGCACATACTCTCAGTCACCAGCTGTGGCAGGTAATCAGGTGTAGGTTTGGGATGGGGAATCTAAAATAAAATCAGTGAGATACCAGGACACTAATTGCTGTAATTCCTTCCCCTTATCCCAAACTGTTGACAACATTCTTTAAGACACTCGAGGAAACCTGATCTCCAAGGAAAGAGCTTTGGGCCAGGAGGAGGGGATGTGAGTCAGATCTGGAGAATGTTCATATTCTGTGAATGTTATAAGGCTGCAGTCACAAAGCAATTGTGAAACCGATGTCCCAAATGAGGTTATTTAATTAACTCTGAGACTTCCTGGGAGTGTGTCATTACCACCATCCCATATAACCTTCATCTGAGAGACAATCTGAAGAGGAAAGCTGAAAGCACATGAGTCAGACAGAGGTAGGTTCCAATGGTCCTAGTGGGTGACTTAGGCATATTAACTTTTCCAAATCTATATTTCCTTTTCCTGCCAAATCTATAATAATGTTACAGACTGAAGAGACAATATGTCATGAATCACTCTGTATTTACAGATACACATGCATTTAAAACAGATTCTATAAGTAGCTACAATACTGTATTGTACTTTTGGCCTACTTTTGTTTCTTTAGAGGTCAAAATGGTGTATGTGTTTTTTAAATCTTTTTTTATTTGGATTTTTAAACAAGATGAAAACCAGGACAAGTTGCCACTAACACATATTATGTAGCTTGAACCTTGGTGGCTAACTGTGCTATTACTGTGATTGATGAACATTGCGCTGCAATCAGCTGGAAGCTGCTGCCTTCCACTTAGCGGAAATGAGGTCACAGAGCAGGGCTGGGGGACTGCCATCTAATAAGCAGGTCTATTTTTCTGTCACCAGTAGAAGAGTTTGCCACTATCATATTTAACTCTTGATTCCATCTGTTGTAAAGATGCTTGCTCCCTTGAACCAGCCCCTGAGTTGTAAAGAATTTGACAGTTTTTAAATAAAATTTTCAATCTTTGCCTGGCTACTCGGTAAGAGAAAAAAGATTATTTGATACATGTACTGAAATATCCAAGGGGGCGTGAGGAGCTCAGTCTGAAATCCTAGTACTAAGGTAGATGGATGTTACTGCCCAGGAAAATAGTAATTATCGCTGACTTGTATGGGACTTGACAGTGTGAAAAGCAAAGCCAGAACTCCTTCCCTGTGAGGGGACCACATTCTTTCATGGTCAGAAAAGTTGAACAAGTCACTTCCCCAAAATGCCCCATTGCTGGAGCAGGGAGGCTGCTGAAAGCCCTGCTTAAGAGCTAGATAAGAATTGCCTGACAGCTCATTGGTTAGAGTATTGTCCTCATATGCCAAGGTTGTGGGTTTGATCCCCGGTCAGGGCACATACAAGAATCAACTAATGAATACATAAATAAGTGGAACAAGAAATCAATGTTTCTCCTCTCTCTCTCTCTCTCTCTCTCTCTCTCTCTCTCTCTCTCTCTTCCTTTCTCTCTGTAAAATCAATACAAACTAAAAATAAAGAATTGCCTGACAGAGGCAGGTACAGGGAAAGCCAGTGCTTGGGCTAGAGAAGCACTAGGCATCTTTTCCTCAGGCCCAGGGGATCTGGTTGCTTAAGAGACTGATTCTGCTTTGCAGAGTGTTCAGATTAGTGTGAATCAGTGAGCAGTTTGTTAACGGATTAGAGACATATCTTCTCTCTAGTAGGCTTGAAATCTGATGGCCTTGGAATTGAATCCTCATATAGATCTAACATTTACTAGCTGTGTGATCTTGACCAATCTCTTAACTTCTTTGGATCATAGTTTATAAGAAATGCAGTATAGAATGTGGCAAAGAGCATAAACCTTGGAGCCTACTACCTGGGTTTGAACGCATTTTCTATCATTTACCCATTCGATGACTTTAGACAAGCTAGAGAATCTCTTTATACCTTAATTTCCTCATGTTTAAAAGAGGTTGGTTATAGTTCCTCCCTCACAAAAATGTTGGGAAGCAAATTGCGTTAATACACGTAAAGTGCTTGGAACAATGACATCAGGGTTAGCTACAATGACATTGGGGTGATGATCCTCATTCCTCGGGTTTATGTTGCAAATCAACTGAGATGATGAAGGTGAAAAAGAGTCACAGAGTTATTAGTGCCAGAAACTATGTTAAAGATTATCCAAATAATGCCCCTCATTTTGTAGGTGGGAAATCAAGACTCAGAGAAGAGGAGTATCTGGTCTGGGGTCACACCTGATTTAAGGGCAGAATCCAGGTCTCCTGATTCCAAAACCAAAGTTCCGTCCTCTGCACTGTGTCAGAGAAATCAACTTCTCCATAGGGCCGACTCTGGAGGGCCCTAAAATGTAGTCCTTGGACCTGTTGCTAGTTAATGCACTTTCCTAGGACAATGAGCTGCATCTGAAATGGAGAGAAAACTTGGAAGAGACTCCCTCCCTCACCCCCACTGACTTTTGAGGTGGCATGTTAGAGCAGGGGGAAACCGGGTTCAGGCCAGGGTTGGGAGAAAAGATTTTCAGAAATCATCACTTAGTTCCATGTCATTGTTTCAGCTAAAAAACCAAACATGTGCAGTGTCTACAAACAAGCTAGTACCATGAATTAACCCATTCAGTTTGTTTCTAGAGTCAGAGGGTTTCACGTATTTTTCTCTTTTCTTCAGGTATTTAATTAAGCAGCTTCCTCCAGGAGTGGTTTCACATCCGATTTTTGGTAAACACTAAAGTTTCACTCCGGGGAGAATATATGAGGTTGGGATTCAAACATCTGCTTTTACTTTTCTCAATTTGTTTCAGTTTCATTCCCTCCCCGCCCCTCCCCCCCCCCCACTTAAATTTATTCTGCTTTGAACCACATTTCCCAGTTGGACTACTCAGGAGTCATTGAAAGATGGGTTGGAAGAAAGGGCAGGATGGGAAGATCCTATGGACACTGGCAGAAGGAAGTAGAACTATTTGATGTAGAGAAAGGGCAGATCCCAGGGGTCATGACTTCTGTTCTCAAGTCACCTGAGGGTGTCATGGGACCGAGGGATCAGACTCTGTGAAGTCTCTGACAGCAGAGCTAGTACAAACTGAGTGAGAAACGGAAGAAGAATTCCTAAGAGTTAGATTTAAGCTTAAAACTTCTGATTATGAGAGCTGCCCAGAGATGGTGTGAACAATGAGCTCCCGTCCCTACCATGAACATGTGCTTTAGGGGAAGAGATCTGGTTGTGAGGCCTGACAGCCACTTGTCAGAGAGAGGGATGGGAATTAACTAGTCAGGCTAGGTCAAATTTGGGATCTTACCAACTCTAAATTTTTCAGATTCTGGGAGTTTAAGAACCAATGACCAATTTCAAAGAGTTCCCACCGTTTTGAACCAGCTGGAAAGCAGCAAAATCAGAAATTCATGACCTGTTTCTTTATCTTGCCCGTGTTTCTCTTTTTTCTTTCTCGGCTTGCTCTTTCATATAGTAGCAGGAACCTTTGACATTTTTCAGGGAATAAGCTTTTTCTTTTAAGTGTGTTTCTGACTCAGCCTTTGCTCCTTCAGCATCATTACAGAGCTCTCTGGAGATTAGGTCTGGCCTGTCACCACAGCAACTGCCCAGGCCCTGTGGGCATCCGTGGTAACAGACTTAGGGCTTGCAGAGCGAAGCTTGACTTGCAGTGTGAGGAAGCTCCACAGGGGAGCCCGATATGAAACAAGCATGTCGTGTATGGGGAGGTTTTCTTTAATAGGATTAGCTGCAGGTGGGCCTCACTTTACACAGTCGGCCAGGCCCTGGCAAGTGTGTGTGTGTGTGTGTCAAGTTTTGGTAAATGGAGGATATCTTATTCTAAAGGCAGAAAAGAGATTTGCTTTCCAAGTCCCTGTAGTGAATCCCCTTTGCAAAATGGAGTCTTCTGTAAATCTGCACCCACATTGCAACCTGGCTGTTCGTCTAGTGCTGAGTGTCTGTGAGCGGGGCCATCTGCAGAGAACCCCTCGGGCATGCGTCCACCTCCAAGGCAGGCAAAGAACAGCAGCAACGCAGCTGGCTCGGGGCTGGGGTGGACAGAGTGTAACAGGGGAAGCAGAGTGAGGGTGGGGCCACAATGAAGGGAGGTCAGGAGGGTGGGCCTTGCCTAGCATGAGCAGTTCCTGCTGCAGCAGCGGCGGGGTGTCCGAGAGACGGGTGTTCTTGGAGGCACCCAGCACGGAGGGGTCCGTTGTTCCAGCGAATCA